CTATGTTTTATGCTACCGAGAGATTTGAATCTCAGATATTTGCGAGATTCCAATGAGATCGATTTTTAACACTTATTGTCTCAGATGAAATAAAAATCTGAGCTTATTGTAAATTGTAAGTATATCAAGGCAATATGTTGTGTTCATAATCTCTGCCGGCAACCTGATTCCAAATCCTAGTTTTAGGGCAATTAAAACGTTCGTTGCTTTTTTATATTTATTTATAGGTGAAGCAAAATATTAAAAAAAACTGCCTGAAGGAAGAAATATGTTAAATAGGACTAGGCGGTAGGACTTTTATCTGCTTAGGAGTCCGTCTAGGTAGGTAGCACCTTCTAAGCTATTTCTGTCGACAAGGAGACCGGTTACTCCGTGCTTTAAGCATGAAAATATACCTACGCTGCATGGCTATCTACAAGAGGCTAATTCAGTGAGCAGAGTATTCAGTTAGGTTATCACTCGCGCGTTCTAGCTGATGCACGTCATACGTTAACAAAAAAGTATTTTTGTATTATAAGTATTTAGGCATTTTTGATATTTATTTTTGAGTTTGTATTCAAGTATGGCCACTCAAAAAACCAAAAGGTATGAATGAATGAATGAATATACTTTTATTGTACACCACAAACAAATATACAGTTAACAAAACACAAAAAAGATTATAATATTATGTAAGTACAATATGGCGGCCTTATCGCTACATAGCGATCTCTTCCAGGCAATAAAAAAGGTACTACATAACATACGAGTGTTTAAAAACAATAGGAATGTTGACTTTTCATTCTTTACTGTTCTCAAGGATATCGAATGGTAAGATATTATTATAGGTAGATCTAGATAGTTAGGTACCTAGTTACTGACGCCATAGTTGCAGATTTATTATTTGATTAACGACCCGATCACAGCTTTGCAGATTTTTATTTTTTCCTGTATAATGTCAATGAGCTTAAAAAGTCATTTAGTGTGAGTAGACCTCCCAGTGCTAGTGACTGCATAATAATGCAAGACTGGTTATAAATTATAATTAGACACTAAGTAGTCGATAAAAGAAAGAGCTTGAAAATGGCTGCACTTCTCATTACTACTCTTTCATTAATAATGTCGAGTCGCATGTTTGTAAATAGCAGAAAATGGTAAGTAGGTAAATTAGGTGAGTTTCACGTTCTGAAGTTCACGCTATTATAATCTTAATTTTTCTCGATGCTGAATATTCCTCGGTGTATTCCATTGCCAACTAATTGTTGTCCAGATTGACAGATTGTTGTTGGGTTACCAGAAAGAAGCTAACGTAATATTAAAGGATTCAATTTGTTTTCTCGCAACACCTAACCATACAGTAGGTGCGGCTTTAACAAAGGCGTGTTATGGGCTAGGCAATACAGACACTCGCACGCGGTCGTAGGTGTATTTTAACATAAGGTGCACGCGATACGCATTTTTTTTGACGATTTAATCGGTAGGTTAATTTTACGAAGGTTGCTTCCGAGGCGTGCAAAATATTATGAAAATTAGGAACGTTGTAACCAGGTTTAAACTCGCAAGTTCGCTATTAGAGTGATCCTCCTGTTATTGTACTAATACATAAGCCCGGTTTACATTTTGAGAAGTGACAAGTGCGAGTGACAATGACAAGTGACAAATGACAAGTGCTTAGTGCGTGTGAACAGGCAGTGACAAGATGCGAGTGACAAGTGATATGAAAAGTGACAAGTGAATAGCAGCCTGCTCTATTCTCTGACAAGTATCTCTGCCCCGCGCTAACCTTGCTTTCCCCGTTTCCCCTCATTTGCAAATGTTTGCAAACCGCCGCCTCCGTTCCAGCTTCTAGCCATAGTACATATAATTGTTGTGTGTATTTGTATTTTTTATTTGTGTTTGTGTATATTATTGTTGTAGTCAGTAATCTTAGCGGTGGGTAGTAGCGGCTTCTTTGAGTAACGAAACGAAACTATCTATCGAATATCAATAGCGGCTTTTGAAACACTCTATTTTAATAGAGGGTTTTGAAACACTCTATTTTAATAGCGGCTTCAATAGAGTGTTTCACGACGTGTTCAATTGAAAAACGTTGCGACTGTTGTTACCGTTTCGTATAGAATTAGACATGGTGTTAATGGTTACTTCGAGATATTTTTGATAACTATCACATAAAGTTTTAGTATTATTTTTACACTTAGTTACTTACACTAATTACTGTACAATTATTGTTATCTTCACTAATATATACAATTGTATTTAGTTCTTATTATACTAAAAATTTTATTATTGTTGCACAAAAAAGGAAACAAACGCGCCTAAAAAGTAAAAACAAACCGTGTCATTAAACTTAAACACAAGACTAATTTAAACCGGGCCAAGGCCACTTAAATTATGGTATTTGAACTATTTTTTGTTAAAAACATGTACACTTACTTTCTCATTTCTAATATCGCATCTATACGAAGGGAATAGAGTCATAGGTCAAATGCAAAAGCACACGCGCTCACTCGACTTTCGACGACCGGTGGTACTTCTACCACAGCGTAAAGAGTCGGTTTCTTTACTCATGTGCTTCTACTTCAACAGCCGAAGCCGTCGCCGATGCGTCGCGAAAATAGCCGAATAAACGTTTTGTTACTGATCGCTCGTTCGTGATTCGTGAAACGTGAATCGTGTTAACACAGAGTACATTATATACGTTTTACTGAGTAAAACGTCTACTGTAATCGTAGACAGAGAAACCTATAGACTAATGATCGGCGTGGCCTCGAGTGAGAAAGGACGATAACGAATTTTTAGGTTATACAATAATCTTTATGACTTTTAAACACATTTAGATAAAAAATTTAATTGTTCTAAGAACTGAACCGAACAAGATTCACCAATCTTAAGCTCACAAAACACTTTTTTCTCACTTAAACCAACTTGTGAACTCCCTAAATCGCTACGCTGTTAAAGTTGTTTAGAAAACTGTAGAGTTTGCTAAACAAAAAAACCAGCACGGAGAAAGGGACAAACAATCACACCGCTCTATCTCATTTCTTTACAAGACGTATGCATAAATCTATCTTTTTCGTGTGCGAATGCGAAAGAAGGCGTCAATTTGTCTATAGGTTTCTCTGTCTACGACTGTAATAGATAGTTTCATTAGTTATAGTTTCGTTGCACTGCAATAACCCGCTACCCGCTATTGTGTGAATATATAGTTTCAGTAACTAGGAACGCAGAACACGCAGAAAGAAGTGTTGGTGATAGTTATTAATAAAATATTTTTGTTAAATATATATTCTATACATATTCTGGCTAATATTTCCAATATGGACCATCGATTTCAAAGCCCATATTTTTTTGTAGATAGTACTCACTAAAAGAAAGCGTTTTGCAAAGTTTTAGGTTGCGGAAACTTACGGTTCATGAGATATATTTTTTTAAACTTTTCATACAAATTGGTAAATAACACGCGATTACAAAATAAATTTGACAAATGATTGATGTCAAACGTCAGTTAGTGTAGGGTTCCGAATATTTTGAAAGTATCGATACCTACTCGATACCAAGTATCGTATCAAAAGTATCAATACTACTTGGTATCGAGTACATTTCGTTAATTTTGGAGACTAGGATAAGAAGTCGGGAAGTTGTGCTCCGGCGCTCCGTGGCAGCTCCGGCGCTGCGAAGTAAATGCAGGGAATAGAGTGAATGGGGCACTGCACTCTATTGTGAAGAACCATAATGTGTCAAAACAGGCACGTATGGTAATTCATAATGCTGTGTTAGTCCCTACTTTAACGTATGGTAGTGAAAGCTGGGTGTGGCAGAAGAAGCAGGAAAGTAGAATAAATGCTGTAGAAATGCGGTCTTTAAGGAATATGCTAGGGTTGAATCTGAATGACAGGGTGAGAAATTGCGTGATAAGAGATAAATGTGGTATGCAAGATGATGTTGTGACCAGGATTAAGAAAGGAATGCTTCGGTGGTTTGGTCACGTAGAAAGAATGAATGAGGAAAGAGTGACAAAGCAAATTTATATGGCAGATGTGAACGGCCGAGTCGGGAAGGGACGCCCTAGAAAAAAGTTTATCGACCAAATTGGCGATATTTTGAAAATGGGCCACGTTAGAAGTACCCTTAACCGACGAGCATGTATGCGTAGATATATGGATGTAAAGGAGGCGAAAGAGGTATGTCAGGATCGTGCCAAATGGAAGTCCGTAGTCTCTGCCTACCCCTCTGGGTGACAGGCGTGAGTGTTTATGTATATATGTACCAAGTAGTATTGATACTTTTGATACGATACATGGTATGGAGTATGGCCTTGAAATCGATGGTCCATATTGGAAATATTAACCCATCAACAGTAGCAACATGTACCAATATTGCTGACTTTCAGCACAACAAGCTTTGACTATTTTTTCTACTTTTTCAGGCTCAAAAGGGAGAGGTTTTTCATAAATTCTAAATCGGCTGATAAGAATTCCAAAAGCGTTTTCAACAATGCGTCTTGCCAGGGACAACCTGTAGTTAAAAATTTTTTGCTTAAATTTCAAATTGTTTCCACTATATGGTTTCATCAAGTATTTTATTAATGGAAAGGCATTATCACCAACTATTACATGACCTTCCGGTAGCAAGTTGTTATCTAGAGCTTCGCTAAGATTGCAGTTGCTAAATATCTGCCACCATCTGCTATTCTACCATTACTGGCAATGTCAAAATAGGTGAAACAATAGTCATCATCTACTACTGCCATAAGACTTTTATTATCACATGTTTTCCATCTATAGCTCCACAACATCCTGGAAAATTCCATGCATTTCTAAAACCACTTTCAATCTTTGACCATCCTTCTGCATTGTTAGGCACCTGTAACAATTCATATTTATTTATATACAAACAGAATTTTCTAATTAATTGTTACTCCATCTTTGTTTCAGCAAAATACTCCTCACATCTTCGAAGAATATAATAATGAAAACGTAACTTCAAGAGTAGAACTATCTACCCCAGATCAAATTGAGCACATGATTACAAATTCAGGAAATGCAGACGAATGCAGTGAATCTGGAAATGCTGAACATCCAAAAAGAAACACGCCAGCTAGAAAAAGAAAGTTAAGGCAACTGGACAACATTGTGACCAAAGCGAGACTGGTTGCTGATGTTATTGGAAACTCTGGCACTAGCTCAAATCACTCAGAAACTAGTTTGATGTTTTTGGCAAAAGTATAGCTGCACAGCTAAATAATATGCCACTCAATGCAGCTATTCAAGCACAAATGTGCATTCAAAATTATCATATCTCCGGTTACAACAAATGTCCATTCCATTCGAGCAATTCCATATGAGCTTCTATAGTAGGAGCATTCTTTTTAAATTATTGAACTTAGATATTTTTTATCCTCTGTTTTCCTTACCTTAAGAGTTGATTTTTGTTATCAATTATAAAATGAGACCACTTCTGAATTATAACCTACTAAAAGTTTATATTTGGTTATACAATTGAATTGATAACCCCTCCTTTTTCTGAAGTCGATATATGCAAGTATGTACTATGTTGAAATTTTATCTACTTAAACATACTACTACATATACATATATACTACAGTAACACGCTCCTACTACTACATTGTGAGCTGTACTACCAGCCCGTGGGTAATTTTATAAAAAAGTTTCTTTAAAGTAATACTACTTTGTTCATTGAAGAACACATAAGATACGATATTTTAAAGCCTTGTTAACTAAGGCCAGTCGGAAGGAATTCGGAGTGCACCAAACCTCGATGATCGAAGAAAACTGTCAACATGACCCTGATTTTTGACTTGTTTTGACTTGGTTACTAGTAGTTCCACCCGCTTGTTTGATTCAGTCGTCCCCAATATCGCCAAATATTTTTATAACACCGACACAACGAACACCACCATCAAATTTTTACATTTCATCTACACCGCCACAACCCACACCATCACCAAATTCCAACATTACATCACAGCCCACACCATCACCAAATTCCAATGTTACATCACAGTCCACACCATCACCAAACTCCTACAAACCAGCTTCACAGACACAACCCACACCATCATCAATTTATGTTTCTGATTCTGAGAATATTATAACTTTATATGCGCCAGATGCTTCCGATACTGAGGGAGATAATTTATCACGGGCTTTAAAATCAATAAAAGATTAGAAGATTCTTATTTCTGATTTGTTTTTATTAAATTACATAATGATTAAAGATTACCATTAAAAAACACTGATTTGGTTTATTTTACTTACCTGAATATAATCCTTAAGGGCATTATAAATGGCATCACAAACTTCGGAGATCATTTTAGAAAGAGTTGATTTTGGTACCCTGAACAGATGCAGCATAGTTCTGAAACTCGTCCCATGAGCCATCATATACAAAACTGCATGTAATTTAACCTTGGCGGGCAATACACATCTCATATATGTGACAGATCTTTGTATGTCTGGGGTAACACGGTCTAGTAACACATTAAAAGAGTCTTCAGTTAATCTCAGTGCAAAATAATATTCCTGAGTATCCTCGACCGCTAACTCTCGTAGAAGTTCATAACTTGCCCCGCGAGCTGTTCTTCTAGCAATCCACTTCTGTCGCCACACTCGTGGTCTAGCCCGTTCGTGAGCTACTTGTACTTCGACGTGCTCTAAAACAATGTTTATGACTTCTCTGGTCACTTCACGAAGTTGTAGGTGCAGTTGCTCATCCATTTTGAGAACTAGAAATACCCGGATGGGGTTGACGGGTAATACCTTTTCCTAGAGGGCGCCATACCGTGTAGTGGCGGTTAAGAATATCCACTACCCCATATCTTCCCGTGGGTGTCGTAAAAGGCGACAGAGGGAAACAGGCAGGAGATGGGCAGCAGCATCTTCCTGATAACAGCAACTATACGACAAAATAAAACTGCGGTTGCCAACCCGCTCGCCAAGCGTGGCAATTATGGCAATATACCCCCCATGAACAATTACACAAATAGACGGCCCCCCGTCCCCGGCGGCCCCGCTATTCCTGGCTACGGTGGCGAGCATGGTAACGGCGGGGCAGGGGGTGCTAAGAAGCTCCGGTGGAGGTTCGGTTGCCACCTAGGACGACTCGGCCTGGCAACATTTAACACACGCACCCTGAGGACTGACGAGAAGATCCTGGAGCTGGAAGAAGAGATAGAAAGTTGCGCTGGAATATTATAGGATTATCCGAGGTCCGAAGAGAGGGGGAGGACACGGTGATTCTCGAATCCGGCAACTTGTTCTATCACCGGGAGGGCGTCCATCTGTCCCAAGGAGGTGTAGGATTTATCGTCCACAAGTCTCTCGTCAACAACGTTGTAAAGATTGGGAGTGTGTCGACGAGGGTCGCGTACCTGATACTCAGAATCACCAAACGGTATTCGCTGAAGGTCATACTGGTTTACGCACCAACCTCGGCACATCCCGATGAGGAGGTGGAGGAAATGTATGTGGATATTTCCAAAGCCATGCATTCCTCCAAAACCCACTACACGGTGTTGATGGGAGACTTCAACGCAAAACTAGGCACAAGAGAAAACGGTGAGCTGAAGTTAGGTAATTTTGGAGTAGGGCAACGGAACCGAAGGGGCCAGCAGCTGGCCGAATTTATGGAGAAAGAGGGACTCTTTATGATGAACTCTTTCTTCCAGAAGCGGCCCCACAGGAAGTGGACCTGGTCGAGCCCCGACGGTTCGACAAAAAATGAGATTGACTTCATTATGACGACCAGACGCCAACTGTTCAGTGATGTCTCAGTGATCGCAAGGGTGAAAACTGGCAGCGATCACCGAAAGGTTAGATGCACACTGAACCTAAACGTTAAGTTGGAGAGGTCTCGTCTAATGAAGTCAACGCTCCGTCTCCCTCGTGCTCTAATCCAGAATCCCGAAACCTTTCAGCTCGAGTTACGTAACCGCTTTCAGTGCCTAGAAGATTGCAATGCAGTGGACGATATGAATGACAAGCTCGTTGAAACTGTCCATGCGGTCGGAGCTAAGTTCTGCAAGACCCGCCGCAGAAGAACACAAAAACTCTCCGATCACTCTCTTAATCTCATGGCTGTTGACGGTAGATGATGGTTTACGGAAGATGAGACTGCAATCGTCAACAGATTTGACAGCATACAGGCAACAGAACAGAACAGACAGATCTCCAAATGCATGCGGCGAGACTTACTAATAACAACTTTAATACTGCTCGTATTAAAGAAGCGATCAAGCGGAACCAGGGCTCCAAAGTCTTTGCCAGAAATCTGTCTGCCAGTAAGAGCCAACTGTCAAAGCTGAAGACTGAGTGTGGCAGCATCGTTTCCGGGACACCTGAGATTTTGAGTGAGATTGAGAGGTTCTATGGGCAGCTGTACACATCATCGCTGGAGCCACACGCAAGTGTGAGTAACGATCCAAGAGCAAGTCTTATCCGACACTATTCCGATGATATCCCGGACGTCAGTCTAAGCGAGATTAGAAAGGCTCTCCAGCACCTTAAAACGGCAGGGCCCCAGGCGAGAATGGAATTACAGCGGAGCTTCTGAAAGCGGGTGGAACACCGGTACTTGAAGTCTTTCAGAAGCTCTTCAACTCCGTTCTCCATGGTGGCACTACTCCGGAGGCGTGGAGCAGAAGTGCGGTGGTCTTGTTCTTTAAGAAAGGCGACAGCGCTCTCTTGAAGAACTACAGACCGATTTCCCCTCTGAGCCGCGTCTACGTGCTGTTTTCGAGAGTCATTACGAATCGTCTCGCACGCAGACTCGACGACTTCCAGCCTCCCGAACAAGCCGGTTTCCGAAAAGGCTTCAGTACCATAGACCACATACATACATTGCGGCAGATTGTACAGAAGACCGAAGAGTACAATCTACCACTTTGCCTGGCGTATGTGGACTATGAGAAAGCCTTTGAGTCTGTCGAAATTTGGGCGGTGCTACAGTCCCTTCTCTCCTGTCGGTATATCGAAGTGCTGAAGTGTTTGTACAGTAGGGCTGCGATGGCTATCCGAGTACAGAACCAGAGCTCGAAACCTATTCAACTGCAGAGAGGTGTAAGACAGGGTGATGTTATTTCCCCGAAACTCTTCACCGCTGCATTGGAAGACGTTTTCAAGCTACTGGACTGGAAAGGATACGGTATTAAGATCAATGGCGAGTACATCACTCACCTTCGATTTGCCGACGATATAGTTCTTATGGCAGAATCGTTGGAGGACTTAAGCACTATGCGCAATGACCTCAATAGTGCCTCCCAACGGATAGGTCTTAAGATGAACATGGACAAAACAAAGATCATGTTTAATGTCCATGTCACACCTATGCCGATAGTTGTTGGGAGCACAATGCTCAAAGTTGTTGGCGAGTACGTTTACCTGGGACAAATAATCCAACTAGGTAAGTCCAACTTCGACCGAGAGGTCAATCGACGGATTCAACTCGGCTGGGCAGCGTTCGGGAAATTACGACATATCTTCTCGTCAGGTATACCTCAATCTCTAAAAACTAAAGTGTACAACCAGTGCGTGTTGCCAGTGATGACTTAGGGATCTGAGACGTGGTCCTTCAATGCTGGCCGTATGATGACGCTCAAGGTCGCTCAGCGAGCTATGGAGAGGGCTATGCTCGGAGTTTCTCTGCGTTATAGACTCAGAAATGAGGATATCCGCAGTAAAACCAGAGTGACCGACATAGCCCAACGGATTAGTAACCTGAAGAGGCAATGGGCCGGCCATATAGCTCGAAGAACCGATAACCGATGGGGAAGAAAGGTTCTCGAGTGGCAGCGTCGTACCTAGGCGTAGTGTAGGGCGACCTCCCACTAGATGGAGTGACGACCTGGTAAGATACGCAGGAATTCGATGGATGCAGGTGGCTCAGGACCGTGCTTTGTGGCATTACTTGGGGGAGGCCTATGTTCAGCAGTGGACTTGTGAAGGGCTGTAATGATGATGATGATGATGAGAGGGCGCCAGCATAGCCTTCACCTGTCAAAGTCGTTTGGCGTGCTTGGTTTGGTATGTGTTTATGTCATATGTACCCAAATTCAAATAATAAACATTATGTATTCGACATAGGGGGTATGTGATTTAAAAGCTGAACTAAAGAAGCGAGGGCCGTCTTTACGAGGAAGGAACGCTGATCTAGTAGAAAGGTATTTGAAAGAAAAAAAATATAATATGATATCTTCTTTCTTTAAAATATTATCATCTCCCTCCTTTGAGTATTCAACCAACTGGAGAGGCCATGCGCATTAATTCCTAAACAAAAATTTTGTCAACATCAGGGGGGCGCAAAAAAACACACAACTGTATACTTAACAACAAATGCAAAATTAAATCGTGTCACTATAAACGCACACTACAACATTTGTGTTTGTGTTCATCGCGTTTACGCATACCATCAAATTGTACACATATCGATACAATGATAGCGCTGGCTGAATGCGTAAGCAACGTAAGGCGTGGACTATGTCGATATTTTTTTATCGATAAACAAATCACCATAGTCGCATAAGTTTTTATTTCATTATAAGTAATACATAGATAAATAATACCAGGGTGTTATTTGAAATTCTTTTTTTAAAGTATTTAAAAATGATCTTCGGAAAAAGCTTATAAATTATTGAAAGAAACTCTATTATTTTGCTACAGGTTTATTTTAAATTATGCAGGATAAAATTTAAAATGTTTATCAAATCGAAATGGGAGGTTTAGTTAACTTATTTTAAAAATCAGATTTATGAAAAAAAAATCCTATCAGTTTATCATCTGAGATGGTGTTAATCAAGTTTTTGTTTTTATTATAAGGCTTCAATCACAAAACCGCTATTTATAAAAAGTTGTTGATTTTGAAGAGTAATTAAATGAACGATCTGGAAAATATTTAATAAATTAGGAAAATAAAAAAGTTTTACACTATATCACAGTTGAACAAAGTGAACTTTAAACAGACAGCTGCTTAAAAATAAAATATGACATCTACTTAGGACTAAGTATTCCTCAGAAAGATGTTTTGCTAAACGAATGTACAATTGATGGCCGACGGCTACACAAAAAAGCGTTAACTGTTTTAAAACTTAGACTAGAGAGTAAGTACCCTGACAAGAAATTGTATTGTATATTAGTGATAGATGAAATGAAAATAAAATAATTGACGGAGTACTACGCAAGTTCTAAAATACATTTTGGTTATATACATAATGCCTTTGGCTGCTAACATGGTATTCCGTCAATTGCCTAATTTCCATTTCATCCATGACAAAGGTACAATAAATTTTTTTATAAGGTTTGCTCTCCGCTCTCAATTTTAATGCCGTCAGCGCTTCTTGAGTAAACCCTGGTCGGCGATCGATGGTAGTGTATCACTTAGTCCAATGTCCGTGGTGCAGGCAAACATGTTCCAAAAGTTTTAGGCTTTTGGTGAGTAATAGTTAAATGTTAGGGCAAAGTATTCCTTGCAAACTTGTGAAACCTGTTTACGCTATTGTTTTTTATGTCAAGGCATTTTTTTCAGTTTAATTTTCCTTGGCCTAAGTGATGGCTCGTACGCGCAGTGAGAGTAGGACTATATATATATATTACATTTGATAGATTAATGCTTTTGTAAACTTAATAAAATATTTTCAAGTAGAATAATATTGGTGTCAAGAGTAATAATAAAAATATTTTATCTAAATCTAATTACAGCCAAACATTACCTCCCACAAGTTCAT